GTCCCAGACAGGGTTGTTTGTGGCTGAGTGAGGATAGTGGAGAAGATGGGGGAATGTCACAACCTCCTCTGGGCTTATGTCTGGTGACCAGAAGGAGCCAGATGGGGGCCTTATGACAAAGACAGTCTACCCCTTCAGGAAGCACCCAGCCTAATCACTTATCTGGTGGTCTCTGCCAGCACTGGTCCTAGCACCAGCAGCAGGGAAGCTCTGAACTCAGCTCTCAATTGAGATGGTGATTCTGTCCTGTCTGGACAGGCCCCCAGAGGAATTCATGGGTTGATTTGCAAAGCACTCCTGAGCTCCTCTTTCCCTGTTGTGGGATTTTTGTGTAAAGAGGATCTCCATTCCTGGAATTCACTGAAAGCTCTCCTGAAATGCCCTCTGCAATTTGTCTCATTAATGGGAAGGGAGGGCTTGGAGGCTTAGCCAGGGTGGCCCCCACTCCAGCTGTGTTGGGATGGCTGTATTGATTGCAGAGTTTAATAGAAGGTTATGGCAATGGATGGGGACTCACTTGGCTTTTACAGGGTCACTGATAGTAGAAAAATTAAGCTTTTGCCCTCAAGCCTGTCTTCTTAACTGAGCTCCTAGCCAAGGCTTACTTGTTAAATTTCCTCTCCCCCAGTCTATCATGCACACCCAACCATGTCTGGCTTCCCTGAACACCACTTAGTCTAACTCCCCAGTTGCTTGGAAACCCTGAATAGGCCCTCTTTCCCTGGACTGAAGGCCCTACATGATTAGGTGTGTATCCAAAATAAATGCCTGTACAACCTCACTACTGATCAAGCCCAGCCTCTGCAATGAAGCCCACTGGATAGACAGATGGAGTTTCCTCACAGTCTTAAAAATGCCACATTTCTCCTCAGGTGCCCCCTGTATGTTCTGAACTCACCACCTGCTCAAATCTAGACTATCTTTGAGTATCCAGCTCATGCCACACTTTGCTGAGCATTGGCCAACATGATTCTTTTTTGAGCTTCCTGCCTCTTTTAAAGTCATTTAGTCACATTTTACCTTCTGTGCTCCATTAGAGTGCAGTAGCCCATTTCTGTGAAGCCCCTGAGGTCAGAAACCCCTGTAACCTCCAGTCCAGTGCTGAAAATTAGTTGAGTCCATAGTACTTCTTGAGTGAATGGGAAGAAATGAATATTTTAAATAATAAACTCTCTCTGGAAAATATGACGTTATTTCTTTTTGACCTGTGTTCATGTACCCATTTTAAAGTGAGACCTGGAGATATTCAATGAGGAGGAGGTAGGGATGGAAGCAGGTGCCCCAGAAAAATTTCTGGAACAGCAGTGGTGAAGAGCAAGATTGAGATGGAGCAGGTGCTAGAGGTAAAAGCAAGCAAGCAAACAAAAAATGAAAACAAGAAATTGAGTTTAAAACATTTTGTATACCTTAAAATGCTTTATACTATTGTACATTGTAGTTCTTCCTAGGACTAAACAGGAATATAGATATGGTCCTAATACTTGGAGATTTAAGGGAGGCTCAGACAACTGTGTGAAAAGTAATGCAGGTTTCAGTGTGGGATGGTATAGAAGTTCTGGAGATGGATGGTGGTGATGTTTGCACAACAGTGTGAGTGTATTTGTTTTGTTTTGTTTTGTTTTTTTGGTACTGGAGATCGAACTCGGGTCATTGCGCTTGCGCAGCAGGTGGCGAAACCACTGAGCTAAATCCCTGGCCCCCAGTGTGAGTGTATTTAGTGATACTAAACTGTACACTTAAAAATGGTTAAATAGGTAAATTTTATTGTCTGCATATTTTACCACAATTTAGAAAAAACCCCGCAAGACCTCCTCCCTCTACCGCTGTAAAAAAGGAATGAAAATAATTGACAAAACTGATATTCGTGTGAATTTGACATTGTTACAGAGCAATTATTAACACTTCATGGTAAATGCACATATTTGCAACCGTTGTGAGTTAGCCCCATTTACCAAGACTCAACACTATGTATTTTTGTTTCTGCTTTTGGATGATTCTAGAAATCCCCTTGGAAGGGGTAAAATAGATCATAATAATTGACATAGAAACGAACTGTAAACTACGCTTAACAACATATGATCTGAGATTACTTTGACAGCTCTACTTCTGTTCTCAAAGTTATTCTCCCTCCTTGACACTACTCTTTCTTCCTTCTCTCTTAACTTTGGTTTCAGATTTCCTCTCTATCCCAGTAGGTCAGGGTGGGAATAGATTTGCAACTATAGCACAGAACATGTGAGTCTGGTGGGGCTTCATGCCTGTCACCACAAATGTCTTGCGCTATCACAGACCATGATTCTCTGACCAAGGCTGCTTCTTGAAGTGAGAGCCATACACACACCTCCCAGATCAGATCGTTTCTGCTCTAGGCCTGAGGGCATCCACATTCAAGGCTCATATAATCACCTTCCTATTTTCTCCTTTCTCTAGCTCCAAGCTGCTTTTGAAGGTCAGAACCATAGGTATAAATAAGCCAGGCCAGGAAAGAGAAATCCTGCATGATCTCACTCATCTGAGGACTCTAAAAAAGTAGATCTTGCACACCTCAAATTAAGTGTTTAAAGTTTGGTGTTCATTTGAACATATATGGTGCCTCTTCCAAATCACCCCTGAAATGATGCAAAACATGTTTAATGCAGAGTGGCCATGGTGCCAGATGATTTGAGTCACACGCAGAGCCAGGGACAGCTTTCAAATATCGTGGCTACTTGTGCTTCTGTCTGGCAGCCAGTTTCCCAAGGGGGTAGGAAATATCGAGTATCTTCTTTGTGGGCTGCTTCTTGTTGAATTTTGCTCCATATGTTGAAGGACAAGTTCCAGTCCTTCTAACTAAGCCTTAAAAGTCTGGGTGGAGTAGACACTGTCTGGAGCCTGTGGAAATTATCAGACAAGGAGCTTATGGCCTTATGTGTTCAGGAGAGGCAGGAGTAAAAGCCAGTGTGAAGGTGTGGGAGTCAGAATGAATTTGGAACTCAGCTCCTTGTGGCCTTTCAACTTAGGATTCACAAAGAAAAAGAATGTTGTCTCCTCACTCAAAGGTAAGAATTTTAAATTTATCTGAACTCTGAATACTATAGTCTATTTTAGTTCCAGTGCCATATTTCCATAATGTATTAAAATAATATTTGAGTTCTATTGAATCTTGCTCAGGGGCAAAGTCAAACACCCAGTCTTAATATTAAGGTGAGGCCCTCAGAGCACGAAAAACAATTAGTGCCCTCTGGAGGGGCTATGGTCAGATTTATACGCAGTGGAGAAGATGGTCTAGAACATAGCACTAACTATAGTCTTTCTTTTAGCAAAACAGAACCTCCTTCATACAGATGGAAACCCTTCCTTGCCACAGGTTATTCCGAGGGTAAAGAAGAAGCATAACTTCTAAATACCATCTAATGACATAGGGATGTCTAAGAGGGACAGAGATGACTGGGTGCATTTTCCTGCATGGATATGCTTACTGAGAGGCCTATGGTGCAGAGAACACCAGTACTTCCATGCACTGCTCTGGGCACCCAGTTCCTATTACCACTGGTTCTGAAGCTGCAGCATCCTTATCAGGATCAGACAGGAAACAAATGCAAATCACCTAAAATCCCCTTAGCTGTATTCAAAACATTTACTCCATAGATAACATGATGTTTAGAGATGAGAAGAATTTTTTTAAAAAGTGCTCTCAATTCTCCTGGCATCCTAGTAGGAGTGCCTAAAAGTGTACATTGGCCAGAAAGTCTCATATGAGCATTAGCCCCAAGCCTAGAAGACACTCTCGGCAAACTTTTTGAAAGTGAGGATATTGAATGGGCAATGGAACTACCCACAAAAGACAACCCAGGTCTGAGAGCTCTTATCTCTCTTTCAAACAATGGTAGAGTTCTAAGTGTATCCTGAGAAGGACTTGGAACAATTTCAAAGACTTCTGGCTGAAGGCGGCCTATTGAAGATTGTCCTGATGAGCTTGGTTCTTTTAAGATCACCCTTGAGTTGGGTGGCCTCTGACTGTGGATCTCATATTTCTCACCTACAGGATTGTTCTGGGTTTTCTTCCAATTTCTGTGTTTCTTCTCCTAAGTTCCCCTTTATGTAATCTTGTTTGTGGGCCATCTGACTGATTTTTTGATGCTTGAGGATTTGTTTCTACCTCTGCATGACCAAGACTTGCTATTTCTGTTTACTCAGTTGTAATATCTGCCCCTGCTGTGGACTGTCACAGGTTTCACAGCTGACAGTGCAGCTTAAATCCAACCTCTTCTATGGTCATGCTGAGCAGCAGGAAACACTGTGTTTTCACACACATTTATATGAACAGAGTCAGTTTTTATAGCTATTGCTGCATCCAGTTTGGATGGTGACCTTGGCTGAAACATCCCTTACCACTGTTTTAGATAAATTCGGCTGGCATTTAAAATCCATGCATCTCCTCTAACTCACCCAGGAGAAAGTAAGGGGAAAGACTTTATTAAACAATGGAGAATAGCCACATTGTTGGCCATTGCTACTGCATGAATCTTGGACACAGGACACAAAGGGAGCAGAATAAATGCAGATGGCACTGCTGCCACATTTGCCTGGCACACCTTAAAATAAGCAGCACATTTCAAGCCTTTACTGTTGGAATGGTATTTCCAAATATAGATCCAAAAAGTTCTTAGGTGTTTGATTTTAGGATAAGCTGGGGATTCTCTCCTGCCCATGCCTTCTGCAGTGTGGGAGTGGATATTGTCTTCTGGATCTCTTGCTTCCATATCTTTCATTTTCTGAAGATTGGAGAAAGATGTAGATCTATATCTTGAGCTGTATGCCTTAAACAAGGATTACTGACCTATAGAAAACTTATGTTTAGCAAGCTTTCAGTTTCTAGAAACCCATGGAAATATCAATGCATCAGAAGAAGCAGTAACTAGCAAGCTCATTAATTGAAGGAATACCCTGAAAAATAAAGTTCCATGTGCCAAAAACCATATTTGATTACTTTGGACTTTTTAAAACCATTTTTCCTCTTTCATATTTTTTATTAGTCCATATTTGCAGTACATAATGATTACATTTATCATGGGGAGTTGCTACATGTACATAACACATCTTAATTCTTTTTTATCCCCGTCTCTTCTCCTCCCTCCATCTCTTGGTTCTCTTTTGCAAAAGTTCTATAATTAAGTGACCTTTTACTATATATTTCATATTGTGAAAAATGCCAAGTTCAGAAATTAGGATGGTGATTTTTACTTGAGTCATGATCGAGAAGCAGCTTAGTGTTATGGAAGGAGTTTGGGTTCCCACTCTGCTTTGGTACTGACCTTGTCCTTTTCACAATACCTCTCTGCACTTCTCTTATATCTGTAAAATGGAGGGTGCTCTTTGGGGTACCTTTTTCTCTGAAATCCATCAACCCTATATTCCTTTGCATCACTGATAGTTTCTTTCTTTTTTTTTTTGGAGTTTTAAAAACTTTCATGAACTGAAGAGTCAGACTTTAGGAGAAATGGAAACTTACAACTCCATTTGTAACTGTTATTAGCCCTTGGCTAATAACATGAGAAAAACAGATTTTTTTGTTTTGAACATCCAAATTTGGGGCTTCCCAAATAGGTGGCTGGACAGGTGAAGATGAGGGTGAGGTATGGGACAAGAGTATGACCTCTGTATCCCAGCAGGGCCTAATGAGCCTGGGCCCTCGGCTTCCTTAGGTTGGGTCCTGCCCTGTGCTCTTGACACTGTGGCCCCTTGTGAAATCATTAAGGGGGAGACTGGTAGCAGTTGGTGATGGTGATAGCTCACATTTCTTCTTCCCTATGTGGCTCTTGCCCTGGGACACCTAGAAGTAAAGAACATTTGGGAAGGTTGTCAGATACTTAGGGAATAAGTATGGGAAGGCATAGGACTGGAGAGGACACAGAATCGGTCAGGTAAAACCTGAGGAGACGGGGGATTTAGCTCAGTGGTTTTATCGCCTGCTGCGTAAGCGCAAGCGCAAGGACCCAAGTTTGATCCCCGGTACCAAAAAAACCCAAACAAACAAACAAAAAAAAACCTGAGGAGAAAGTTGCTTAGCAAGCTTATTTTCCCTTCTGTAAAGGGAAGGGGGTTGAACTAGGTGCTCTTTAGGGGCTCTTCTGTTTCCACCCTACTTGGTCTCTAAGTTGGTAAGCATTTTGTTACTGAAGTGATCAATATCCAAGATATAGTAAAAACATAATCCTATTAGTGCTTTTATCACAAATTTTTGAGCACATATACAGGTATACTTTTTGTAAAATTCCATGACTCTGGCCCACAGATATCATGAAGCAAATTGAGGTAGTGAATTACTATTGCAGTAAAGTGTGATTGGGACATTATTGATCTGCAGTCTCCCATACAGTAGCCACTAGTTACATGTGGCTATTAATATTAAAATTAGCAAGAATACAAGAAAATTAAAAATTCAGCTGCCCAGTTATGTTAATGACATTTCAAGTGATCAAAGTGCTCATACCTGCTGTGATACAGTTCCCAACTGGACAGAGAAAACGTGCACTTCTGTTGTCACAGAATGTTTTCTTGGGCATTGCTGGTCTGTAAGGCACCCCTGTCCTCAGGTAAGAGATGTGTAATTGTAGAATTTCTATGGCCCATCCTTGAAGGCTGAGTGAATTTGCGGCTTTATATCAGGAAGATCACATTTCTGTTCTCTGATGAAAGTCTTTTGATCTCCAAGGTGCTGAGGCTGGTGGAAGAGGCAGCACCACTGCAGGGAGTTCTTATCTGCCTGAGGACATTGTCATTTACCTCAAGCATTGCAGTGAGAACAAGTAGTGATGAGATGATGCTGTACAGCCCTTAGAAAGGTTGAAAAGTTATATGAGTATAATGCATGATGATTGTTAAGTGAATGCATCAGACACAAGTAACTGGGTCCTGGCTCCTCCTCTACTTCCATCCCTCTAAGCCAATCAAACTGAAGTTGGATTTGAAGCAGTGGACTTTGGTTGCCATTGGCAGTTGCTTCTCTCCTTTGTCCATGGTCTGAGAACCTAGATGAGAATATAGGACAGTTGAGGGAAGATCAAGAAGCACTGGCTTCTGCCAAGATGAATTATGCTTATCTTGGTTTTAAGGGAGCTCCTGAGCAGTGGTGAGAGTCCTGGGGAGGACCTGGATTAGAGGACCAGCCAAGTTTGAAAAAGAAGGGAAGCCCCCTGGGGAGAAGCTTAGTGGCCTTCCCACCTTTCCCAGATGAAGAGTGACTTCATAGAAAAGGTGACTCTGTCTACCTTCCCTACATGTTGTCTGGCCAGGGTTTCCTCTGCTTCCTCTCATGTCTTTCATCCTGGTTTTAACTTCTATTATGACAACATAGTACATATTACTATTGTAGAAAATTCATAACATTTGTAGAACGTGGTAACTATAGCTACATGTCTCTGGTTTTAATCAGGTCTCAGTTGCCTGATGAATGATTTGGAAGACATCCTCACCTGTCTTCATTGTCAACCTTACTTCCAAGCACATGAAACGGTGCTGAGAGCTGTAGGAACAGGTGACAAGAGCACAAATTCCATCCTTGAATAAACACATTCTCAAACACAGGCTGGTATATTTAGAATACATTCTAAGAAAGTACAACACTAATTGTCAACTCTTAAGCGGAAGGTTACAGACTCTGAACCACATGGACCTTGGTCTAAATATTATTTTTTGACTGTTATCTTGAACTCTCTGAACCTCTGTTTACCTATATATGAACTGGTGATAATAATGCCTTACAGGGATGTTCTAGGAATGAAGTGATGAATGTGTTTGTGAAGGACCAAGCAGAAGGCTTCCCACATTGAGTTACTTAAATCATTTCCTTTCCCTTTGTCAGGAATCAGTGCTATGACTTGGATGGATGTAGTGGCGCACCTCTGGAGAGTCCAGGCTTAGAGGCTGGGAACCACTGCATTTTACTAAGCATATGGGCTCTCTGGGCTGTTGGAATGCCAGGGAAAGGGGTAGGGTGGATTTGGCTTACTGGGTTGGGAGGTTCTCCATAGAAGATCAGGACTCAGAGGTGGGAAGCAGCCTCTCTCTTCAATCAGTGGTTGGCATGTTTTCTGTTTTAGCTTCTTTCCAGCTGTGGGCTCTCGTTGCATAGGGGTTGATGCTTGTGGGTAATCTACAGCTGCCAGTAAAATGGAATCCCAGAGACTGACAGAGGGGGAGTGTGTATACTTTTAGGAGAAGAGAAAGAGGATCCTCATGTCTTCCTGGTGCCTCATGTCCAGTGAAATGTTTTAATCGATGGTATTGATCTCTGATGGAGATTTAGTTGTTACTTCAATTTCCTATTTCACTATGGAATGTGAGTGCATGTGTTTGTGAAAGAGAGTCACAGAAGGAGTGGTGATCAGTAGTGGACAGTAGTAGAGCAGGTAGTGGAAGAGATGGGGGACAGTTCTCTTGGACACTCTTGGTGGCCTGGATATGGGAACAGTGCTTTGCTGGAGTGGGAGTAAGGAAATATGATTAGAGAGTTTTTTTCCACTAGAGGAACTGGAAAAGGAGGTAAAGAACAGTTTTGATGTAGGACTAGTAGTGCGAGTCTAAGAGAGAAATTGCCCATTGTTGGATATGGAGGTGAGGGGGAGAGAGGAAAGCTGGCTTGCTTAAAACTCACCAAAAGTGTTTCACAGTTCCTTTCTCAGAAAATACCTTGGCAAAGCCTTAGTTAGCAGCCGATTGGTGTATAGGTGTACAGTTGTTCTTCGGTCTCTGTGGGGTATTTGTTCCAGGACACCCTGTGGGTACCAGAAATCTATGATGCTCAAGTCCCTTGTATAAAATGGCATAGTATTTGCATATTGTCTCTGCCTATCTTCCTGTATACTTAAAATCATCTCTAGATTACTTATACTACCTAATACAAAATAAATGCTATGTAATTAGTTGTTGTACTGTTGCTTAGGGAATGGTGACAAGGAAAAAAAGTCTATTCTTGTTCAGTACAGATAGTTTTTTCCCCTGAATATCTTTAGTCTGTGGTTGGTTGAATCCATAGGATGCAGAGGGCTAACAACACTTGTGATGTGCAATAAAAAAAACAAACCAAAAATGGTCACAGGGATCTACTCCCTGTGTTCCCTTACCAACTTCAGCAAGCTTCAAGATATACCTTTATCCCATGACATCTGTAGCTCCTTCCTGGCATCTCACAAACTTTTCTCTAATGGGAGCTTTCTTCACTTGAGTGTCATAGTGGTTGTTGAGCTGTGGAGAAAGAACTCTATACTTAGTCATCACCCAGTATGTACCAGGAGCACTACTGGACACTCATGCCATTTTATTTTTTATAACAACTACATGCTGAGCACATGTAAAATCCCTATTTTACAGATTAAGAGACTGAGGCTCAGATGTGAAGTGTCTGGCCCAGGGCCACATGGCTGGTGGATACACAGCAGAGCTGGGATTAGAATCCCAGACCTGACTTTAGTACCACATCATTTAGAGCCCCTATTTCAGTTTAAGGATTTTGGATTTCTTTTCAAAGGAACAGGGAGCTCTTGACTATGACCAACAGCTTGATATATGAGAGAAGACATTTTCCTCTTGAGAACACACTGAGGAGTTGTAGATCAATAAAAGCAGCTCTAAACTGCTCCCATTTTTATGGGCCTTTGTGAAATACTTGGGTGTGATTCTTTTTTATGCAGTCAAAACTTTGCTGTGTGGCTCCAGTCTTAGGTTTTCCTGGGGCCTGTAGAATCACTGGGCATGAGCAATACCAGCTACCTTGCCTGAGGTACACTTTACAGTCTTCCTCAGTTCCCACATTTTTTTTTGGCACCACTGTTCTCTGAAGTAACAGATTCAGGTATTAGAGTAATCTGTAAGGTGATTTGGAAAATTGGACCCCAAATCACTTTTTTCCATGTTGCCGGTTTATTCACACATCTGTCCACCAGCCACATGCTGTGTGGTGGACTCAACTGCACACCTCACATTTTGTCCTGTGTTGTCACTGTTTGAGGTCTTGGGTTACTGATACCTGCAATAGTGAGTTCATTGAGGATAGAGTCTTTATCTTACAAATCTGTAAATAACTGATGTTGCCAACACAGTACTAAACTTGTGGAATACATTTGCAGAAATATATACAGAAAGAAAGTGATTATCTGTAGAAACCTTCTAAAAGAATTGCTTCCCAGAGGAGGCTTAGAGCCAAAACAGACTTCTCAGCTTGAGAGGTGGGTGGACATTGCTGAGAGTAGGTGAAGGAGGCCAAGGAAAGATGGATCAGTTATCTCTTGCTGTGTAACAAAATATCCAAAGCTTAGTAGCTTAAAAAAACTGTCTATTTGTTTATAATTACATGACTCAGACATTTGGGTTAGGATCAGTGGAGCAGCTCTTCTACTTTTCTCCCCTAGGGTCATTCATAGAGGTATCATCATTTGACCCTTCAACTAGGGCTGTGCAGGTGACCCTGGTTCCATGCCCCATGCTGGGGAGCCACCTGTAGCTAGCTCACCCAGCTGGCCTTGCTCTGGGAACTAGAGCCACTTTGTTCCTTCCTGACCTGGGGGCAAAGGAGGATGAGTAATAAAGAGACACAGAATCAGCTTAATGTGCAGGCAGCCTGGGGGCCTTGGTGCCTCTAGCAGGCAAGAGGAGCCTTGAGCTTTTGTCTCACCTTGCGTTTTATTTACCCAAACATGGGCACAAACAATCAAAGTAACAAGATTCATCTGGTTTCCAATATCCACTAGTATGTTCTCTGCCAAAGAACTTAACCTCAGTTGTCTTAACTTACCCCTAATATGCAGTCACCCCTGAGTGCAGCCTTTGTCCTTTGTGCTCACAGAGGAGGCCAATTAGGCCTAAATTCTCCTCTGGTCCTTGACAGGGCTGGATGTTCTAAGTGGCTTCACTGACATGTCTAGCAGTTGGCCTTGGAAATCAGTGGGCACTTCTCTCATTTTATATTTCCTTGTGGATTGTCCACTTGAGGACTGGACTGTGTTTCTTTACATGATGGCAACACTTTCAAGAGGATGAGAGAAAAAGCAGTAAGACCTCTTGCAGTTGAGGCCTGTCTCTACTGCTATATTCTTTTTTTTTTTTTTCTTTTTGTACCAGGGATTGAACTTGGGACCTTGTGCTTGCGAGGCAGGCAGTGGAACCACTGAGCTAAATCCCTGGCTCTACTGCCATATTCTGTTGGTCAAAGCAAGTCACAGGCCAGCCCAGACTCAGAGGGCAGGAAATAGACCTCCTGTCTTGATGGAAGGAGATGAAGCCGTATTGTCAAGGAATGTGCACACAAGGATGAGGAGAGCAGAGGGACAGGGATGAACATGATTTGATGTGGTCCTCTTCCTAAAATAGCTCCCACAGAAGGACTTCTGTTTTTCTCATCCTCCTGTAATTTTCAAATACATGTTCCCTGAAAAATTTCTGTCTACAGAGATTAAATGAGAATTTGGATTCTCAGGCAGATAGCTTAATAACTGCAAACTGTTGCCCTTGGCATCCCTAAATAAAATGATCTTCCTGTGGGGTCTGAGAAAGGCTTTGGTCAGTGTCCTTAGCATCCTTTTCCCAAACCTAGCAGTACCCTCATGAGCTTTTGGATACTGGATAAGATAGGCAGCTTGTTGGGGTGGAAAAGCATGGGATTAGGAGTTGAACGGACCGGTCTTCAGCCAGTTCAGCTTTAGCTCTACTGGCCACATGGCTTTGGGTAGGTTACTTGACTTATCTGAATCTTACTTTCCTCATCCATAAAATAGTATATCCATTTTGTATGATTGACTGGGCAGTTATTCATTCAGCAGTTGGTGATGATAATAATTAGAATAACTCCAAGGGGTGGCATGAGCTCAAGGCAGAGCTCTTGAATCAAGCACATCATATCCCCACCCCATTCTCCTTCACCTTATCTTGATATGCTGGCTAAATAGGTCACAAGTTTCCACAGGACTTCCTGTCTTATTCTGTCATGATTGTTGCAAGCACAGAAGGTTAGGATGGGCCTCCTTGCTTATCAAGTACCCCTGCAGGGAGCAAGAGGAGAGGAATTCTGCTCCAAGTGACAAAAAATTCTGTTAGAAGGCTGGATGCAACAGAAGTGATGGACAGCAAATATAGCCACTGCTTGTGACAGGGCTAAGGGATTTGAATGCAGAAGAGCCAGGCACTGGGCCTTCTATATCTGAGGTGTTGGACAAAATTAATTTTCAGAATTGGCAAGGTAGAAACAAAATCTTTTATGTAGATGAAATGATCATCTACAGAGAAAATACGAAGAAATCTCTAGGAGCCCCTAGAACTTGTATCTGAATTTAGCAGGATTAGAAAACACAAGATATATATAAAAATTCAGGTCTATGTATACTTGATATAAATGAAGAATTGGATATTGAAATTTAAAAGTTATGTAGGAGTACAAAGGACATAGAAAAGTAAAAAGAAAAAGAAAAAAATACAGTGTAAAGCTACAGCAAGGAAGGCAGAGACATATAGATCAATGTAAGGAAAGACATATAGATCAATGGAATAAAACAGAGAAACTACAAATAGAACCACACATATATGGTCCACTGAGTTTTGAAAGATTATTTAACACTAACATTTTATAGACTATAAACTCAATTCAAGAGC